GGCGGGCAGGGGGAGCCACGGCCTGGAGGGGCGACCGGGCCCGCTGCCCACCGCCCGACAGCGGGACATGGGCCGGCTGGAACTTGAAGCCAGACACTGCAACGCCCGGAGGCTGGCCCGAGGCCGAGGGAGGTTCAGCACAGGTCCTGCGGAGGTCCCGGGCGGGGCGTCCAGCGGGCGGGGCCGGCCGATGTGCCACGGGCCTCAGCTGCAGAGGCCCCACGCCCAGACCCAAAGCGGAAGACGGAGCACGCGCGCCCTGGCCAGTGGGCGGCCAACGGGGCACAGCTGGGGAGGAATGGGAGCCAGGGCGGGCAGCACCTGGCAAGGCCGAGGCCGCCCCGCCAGGCACGGGGGGACGGCCCGGACAGCCCCCACGAGGCGCGGGAAGGGCAGGCTCCGAGGTTGACCGACGGCGGCCCCCACAGCCAACACCCGTGAGAGCAGAGGCGGGCTGTGGCCTGCAGCCAGCGGGAGAAGCCCGTCACCACTGCCCGCTGGGCTCTGCCCTGCCCTGGACACCCGCGCCTGGCCTCCTCCCAGGAGCTACAGGCTGTTCTGGGCAGCAGGTGCCAGGTGTCCGCTCACGGCTGGCCGCCCTGCTCCCGCCGCCGAGCTCAGGCCTCCCTGGGGCACGCGGAGGCCTGCAGCCCACGTGGCCTGGCCAGTGCTGAGCCCAGCTGGCCTGTGTGGTCCCTGCTGGCTCCGGAGCCCCAGGAGCCCTGACCTGGACGGTCTGGTGGAGGTGGACGGCCACCACCTTCTTCATGCAGTCCTTGATCATCTGGGAAGTGAAGAAGTTGGCCTCGCCCTTCTTGTCCACCGCGATCTTGCGGTAGTCCTCCAGCAGGATGGGGCAGATGGCCTGCGTGGGGTGGGTCATGTAGATGGGCCCGTCGTAGCCCACCATCTCGCTGAAGTAGGGGAGCGCCCCGCAGTGGTCCAGGTGGAAGTGGCTGTGGGGGGCGAGTCAGAGACGGCTGCCCTGCCTGCCAGCCCAGCGAGAGCGGGGACCCAGAGCCCGCTGTCTGCCCGGCCAGGCGCGCGGCCGCGGGGCTGGCTGGCCGCCCCTCAGGCACACACTGGGCAGGAGGCG